GCTTGGTACTCCCATCAATTACCGCTACTGGAGAAACGTGGGTCACTGTGGCAGCAGCTGATCTCCACCTGGGAAGGTAAACTGACGGATGACCCAGAGCCTGAGGGGTCTTTTGAGATGATGAGTCCAATCTTGACAGAAGGGGTCAAACATCACCCTCTGATTCCGAGTGAGGGCTGGGCTGTGTCCAGGGGTATCCCTGCATTATCTCAGGTCTCTGGATCCCTGAGCTGGGTGCTATTATCCCAACTTACAATTTACACGAGATCGAGACCCAGGACGGCCAAGGCCAAGTCTCGCTCGACTGGGGGCGTCTACTGGGTGTGAAAGGGCGTTTCCCGTTCCCACCCTCAGCATCCAGATGCCTAGAACCTGCTGTCTCGTTTCCAGGGTCTTTGAGAGTGTAGCCTTTCTGCGTTCCTATTCTTCATGTTTTATCTCAGAGGACACCTCTCTGAGGCTGATGTTTACTACTGCTTTAGAGAAGTACTGGTGAAAGCTCAGAGAGGTTAAATGTATCCCTCAAGGTCACCCAGCTACAGAGTCAGAGATGAAACTCAAACCCCAGTCTGACCCCAAAAGCCCAAGCTCTTGGCAGTCGATCTTCCTATTTCTGGATTTGCAGCTGCTCTGAGGCAGAGGCAGGTAGGCAAAGCCACAGCAGTAGCAGCTCTCCCAGACCCTGGAGCCCGCTGGCAGAAGTGTGGGTCTCGGGGAACCTCGTCTTGCTGCTCAGGCCCTGCTCTCAGTCTCAGAATCACCATCCGTATCCACTTCCAGGTCAAGGGTGGAGGCCAAAGGCTAGGACTGGGCTCCCCTGGGCCAAATCCAGGCCCACTCCCAGAACTCCCCACCCCATGGCCTGGAACAAACTTTTAAACACACTTCTCTGGTCTCAGCCTCTCTCCCATCACCCACTTCTCCTTGAAACCAGAGTGAAAAGATTACAGTGATGACAGCTGACCGTGTTGGCTAGATTTTATCACTGTTCTCAAATCCTTTCCCATGATCATTATCTGAGGCCCAGACTGTATCTTCTGTTTCTTTGACTTCAAATCACTTCATCTTTTGAGATCCACTATGTCATCACAGGTAAATGGGCATAAGTAAATCCTCATCTCAAAGAGTTACTAGGAGGCCTATGTCCACCATCTAGGCTAAAATCTCAAATCCAGGCAGAGATGAGGGTTGAAATAATTTGCCCAAGTCTCCGGGCAAATGACCCTATGGGACACCATTACATGGAGAGCCCCAAAGTGGGGTAAGAGCAGTTGTTCTGACTACTTTACAGGAGAGAAACACAGGCTGAGAGAGGGTAAGAGACTTTTCTGGAAGTTGCAAAGCAAAATAACACTGTCTGCCCTCAAAGGTAATGCTCCTAAGTGCTGTGCCAGATCTCAGAGCAGCTGCCTTTTATGGGGCACATATCTTAAAAGCACTCCCCTACCATGTGAAGGAGCAAGAACCAGGCCCACCTTTCCTGGAGACCCCTTTCTGCATTCCACCTTGCTCTGCTCAGCCCAAGGGCCTTGCAAGTATTTAACCTCAGTCTGTCCATCTGTAGGAGCTGACCACCCCATCCCCACGGTGCCCAAGGAGTCAGTGGCTGGCCCATACTGCGCTCCCGGCTGAGGCCCGAGAACCTGAAGCCCCCAGAGCAGAGCCAGACCCTCCCGGGGAGGCCATGAGCCTGCAGCTGCAGCTGCTTGAGAGCACAGCCCGGCAGGAGCCCCCCAGCCTCCACCATCACTATCGCTAATAACGACATCAGTCAGGTTGACCACGTTTCACACCATTACTCACAGCTCAGCAGGGAGCTACATATTTCTCCCCCCCTCACCCACCACCTTCCAGAAAACAAAAGCACTTTCCAGAAGGGAAGAGAAGGAAATCCACATTTTTCTGAGTACCTACTACGTGTATGACATTGGACTCAGCCCTTTATCTGGAGATAGGGATAACTGGCTAGCAAAGCGCGGGGGGCCCAGCAGGGTGAAAGCCAGTGCCCAAGGTCACGCAGCTGGCACAGGAGCAGCTGACAGTGGTATATAGGTGACACTGGGGGTCACCAAGCCCTGTGCACAAGCCCACTGAAAAATCATGATTTTCATTTTCAGATGAAAAAACGGCAGCTCGTAAGAGGACTGTCTGAAATCAGTGCTGCTCAGGCAAGAGCAGCAGAGCTGTGCCAGCAGGGGGCGCCTCCCCTGCCAGGCAGAGGGCGGGCGCCCTGGTTGTCACTGACTGTGACTGGGCAAACCTCACCACCTCTCTGGGCCTCAATCTCTGCGTCTGAAAAGAGGGCTGCTACATGGGGCGACAGCAGGCAGGATAAAGAGCTAAGGTTTATAGATCGGTTAACATGTACCAGGCACTTTGCCAAGCACTTTACATATGTAAGCTCATTTGGTTAAATGAGGTAATGCATACAAGTGCTTAGCACAGGACTCCCGAAATGGGAGTGATAACAATGATGGTGAAGAAACTGATAATGACTCCCCGGGGCAGCTCTCCCCAGTTCATCCTCTTACAGGAAGAGGAGAGTGGCCTGTAAGGTTTCAGGAAGGAGATGGGCTAAGTAAGAGCACAGGGTTTGGACAGGAGAAGGAAACGGGAAACGCACAGAAATGACGGAGCGAACAGCAGTAACAATGTCGAGACGACACAGCATGCAGAAATCAAAGAAGCAAAATGCTCACGACAGTCTGCAGAATGGAATCAGATCAGATGCTGACATCTCTAGGCCAGCCCAGATTCTACGCCAGAGTCCCAGAGTCGGCTAGACCCTAAGGACACTTCCCATTTCATAGATGCAAAAGCCAAGGTTGGTTAGGGGGACAGTGTCCCAAGCTCACAGGATGCCTGTGCCAGAGTTGAGCTTGAATTCCCGGTATCCCGCCTCTCAGCCCCATGCCCAACTCCCCACTGTCTCCCACACATCAAGAGTCCAGGGAGGCAGCGGATGTGTCACGGTCTATATATCTTTAAGATAACAAGAGAGACTTTACTGAGTGATCACTCCGTGTTGAATTCATTATCTTAGTTTAATCTTCACAACAAACCTAAGAACTGGGAACCGTTTAGCTCTCTTTAATAAATGACAAAGCCGGGGCTCAGAACAGGTAAGCACCTAAGACCACACAGCTAGGAAGGGACGGAGCCAGGACATGTACCGGGGTCTGTCCTAATTCCAGATCCTTGTCCCTGCATTTGTCCACCTCAGCAGTACAGTTCCCCTACCAGCTTCTCCCAAAGTAGATCTAGCCCTACTACACAGAGTGTTTGAGACTGGCTTGTTTTCATGTAAAGGTGAAACCGCCCACGAGAAAGAAAAAGGACATAGTTCCTCTTCTAAGTTTGCAGCTAAAAAATCCATAGCAGCTTCTTCCTGTCAGCCTCTTTTCCAATAGATGAGAAAAGTGAGGCTCCTTTTCCCCTTAGCTGATGTCAGGCTGGTGAATTCCAGCATCCAGGCGCACATTATGGAAGCTGCCCAGTGGCCGGGACTCTTGGGGGTTAAGGACAGCTGAAGGGACCCACTCCATAATGGGCCCTGACAGACAAGGGAACAACAGAGCCAAGAGACCAATTTTCAAGTCCTGCGAGCACCTCCTCAAAGGGTTGCATGTAACCCTCACAAGCCGCCCAAAGTCACCGGCCAACACGAAGGACAAGCAGAATCGCGGCCAGATCCTGCCTACCTAAAGGAAGTCCCTAGCGCTGGTAAGACGGCCCAAGGCAGAAAGGTGGTTTTCACTGAGCTCAGGATAGTGGTGAGGGTGGGCCTCCCCTCCCCTCCAGAGCAGTAAGGACTTCCCAAGGGCCCCTGACTTATCATTTCACAATCAAGAAAGACTGCTGGACTCAAAGCCTGGCTTCTACTAAAAATTTGGGACGCTGCTTTATAGCATCATTAGGAGGATTGAGTGAGTGGGCAAATGCTTGCAAGGGACATCACGCCAGGGGAGTGTACCCCACACTGACCATTATCATCAAGAGAAAATGAACAAGAGACAAACCACTAACAGTGCCTGCCTTTGGGGTGTGGAGCTGAGCAGAGAGAAAAGGGAACTTACCTGTATCTTTTGTTCCATTTGATTATGTATGGATAAATTCATTTTTTAAAAATTTAACATAGAAAAAAAAAGTCCTCAGAAAAGTTTCATTTCTTGGCATCTTATGTTCCTCCAAGTAGATAAGGAAGAGGGTTGCCACGGAGCCAGGAGTTGCCAAACAACTGATTCATTCATCTATTTTACAAATACTAATGGAGTGCCAGGCACTGTTCCAGCCGCTGGGGATTTAGCAGGGAACAAAACAGATAATCTCTGCCCTTCTGGAGTTTCCATTTTACCTGATCTTAATTAATCCCCTTTGCAGCCCTCAAGGATGAGCAATTTACAGATAGGCAGACCAAGGTGGTCCAGCCAGGGGAAGCCATGGCCAGCTGCTTCCACCACGCCCAAGAGGCAGGTCTGGGGATAGCAGGTTTGGGGCTGTGGTTGGTTGCCAAGGAGGGAAACAAGACGAATAAGGACGTCTCCATAACCAGACCCAGAGCCCCACTCTAAGGCTGGGCCCCTGTAAGGGAGGAGGAGCTGTGGATGCAGTGACTCTGATCATGGAGTACAGATCCTGAGGTGCAGAAACCCCCAACTCACATTCAGACCCAGTTGTGCCTCCGAGGCTCCCACATGCCTCCTCCGTGGCAGCACAGCTTCCACCTCCTAGTTTTGAAGTTTGGACCTCAGCTCTAGGATAAGCAGGCGCTCCCGCAGGGAATCTTAAACCACCCTGCCAACCCACTTGCCAGGGCCTGATTGGAGGGCACAGCTGGCCCCCTTCAGTCCCCAATTTACTCTACTGGGCTCCCTGAGACAATAACCCAGTTACCTAAACTGAGATTGAGCATAGCTTTCAAATTCTCCCGGTCTCCCCGGGGCACCCGAGTACCCCACTCCACCCACCGTGCCTGTCCAGGCAGAAGTGCCCATCCCTACCCCTGGTGCTCCGCTGAAACTGGTGGCGGGTGGGGCACCCATGGCCTCAGTGGGCAGGGAGGGCAGCCGGGACCTGACAGTGCCTTGCGACCCTCTCCAGGGAGGTGCCTCTCTTTTCCAGGCCTGGCCAGGCACGAGGGTGAAGGGAGGCAGAAACAGCACAAAGGAGGCGTGAACCGTTCTCAGAGTCTAAGATCCCAAGGCGCACAGAAGAACACCAAGCGGACATGGCCAGAGATCTGGAGACACACAGGAGAGACCCCGCGGGAGCACAGACTTTGCGAGAAGCACACGGCTCACACGGGCGGGGCAGAGGCAGCCCACGCCGACGAGCGCCCACAGGAAAACACAGGGCAGGGGCCGCAACCCTGGCCCGGCGCCCCGGGCCCCACTGCGCACCCCAACAGGAGGCGACTCCAACAGTGCCGGTCGGACGCGCGGAGCCCCAGGCACCCGGCGGGGGCTGGGGACACTCGCGCTCAGGACGCGCTCGGGGACCGGCAGCACCCGGCTCGGCGGCGAGAAGCGCACACAAAGAGACAGCCCGGCCGGCGGGAGC